TCCGGGGCCGGGCCGGGGTCCAGCTCTTTGGCGGACGGGCCGTAGTGAGGGCTGCCGGCCTCGGGGTCTTCCGTGACGGCCAGCAGATTCTTGGGGGGCGGCCCGTAGGCGTCCGCGGCCCCCGCGGCCCCCTTCGCCGCCCAGGCAGCCACGGCCCTCGGCCGCTCGCCTCAAGGAGTTGTCGGGGGAGATCTCCAGGGTGAGCGGGGTGCTGCGGCAGCTCTCCCCCGTGTTGTAGGCGCTCGAGCTGTCCTTGTCGGACTTCTCGGGGAGCTCGGTGATGTCCGAGAGCTCGTGCCTGCGCACGTCGATGCTGGTGTTGTAGTTGCGGAAGCCGCTGTTGTGCAGCATCCAGGACTCGCGGTACTGCTCGCGCAGCTGCTGCATCTTGTGGGCGCGCACGATGCTCAGGCACTCCAGCTCGATGCTGCGCAGCTCCTCGTTCAGCAGTTCCAGCTCCTTGTCCACGCTCTCGGGGTCGCTCTTGCCGGCGTCCGGGGCGCCGCCGGGGCAGTACAGGCCGTAGGGGGCAGCGCTCCTCACCTGGCACTTCAGCTCCAGGAGCTCGCGGAAGCGCTCGCACTCGTCCACCGGGATGCCCAGGTAGTCGGCGTCGGTGCAGTCGGCCGAGACGAAGGACTCGTTGCTGAAGGGCAGGTCGCCGCTGCCCAGGGTGTCTTGGCTGCAGGTCAGCTTCCGCTGCCCCGCCAGCGGGTTGGAGGACGCGGCGACCTCGTCGCCGTTGTTCTCTTGCTCCGAGCTCTCATCGTTGCGGGTGCTCTCGTCGGTCCGCCCCACGCCGCTGTCCTTTTCGAGCTGGGTGGATAAGATGGTGGCCGTGTCTGTGGTCCCGCCGTCCTCCTCGTGCTTCTTCTACACAACAGAAAGCAAGGAACAGACAGTCACGGCAAGGAAGTCATGAGGGGCGGGTACCCTTTCATGGCAGTGTTTCTGGATAGGGCAGGCTCCACGTTTCTAAGACTGAGGAGTCGCATCTGATAGTAGGACTAGGTCAAGGGCCCAGGAATTCACCATACCTACCTCCACCTACCTGGGTAACCTAACCTGGAGGAGTCACTTATCTTTGTTCTCATCCTCAGTTTTCTCATCTGTAATGATAGCCGCCTTACCTCAAGAACAATTCTAACTATTAAATGAACCAGTATGGCTGAGGCTAGAGGACTGCCTGAGCCTGCGGGTTCGAGACCAGCCTGGGTATCATGGTGAGACCTTGTCTCTACAATAAATCAAAAAATGAGCCAGATGTGGTAGCGTGCGCCTGTAGTTCTGGCTACTTAGAAGGCTGAGGTGGAGGGATCACCTGAGCCCAGCAGGTCAATGCTGGGGTGGCCACGAGCATGCCACTGCACTCCAGCCTGGGTGATGGAGTGAGACTCCAACTCAGAAAACAAAAAACAACAAACAAAATAATAAATAAATGAACCAGTATATGGGTAGGAGGATACATAAAGGACTTGGTTTAGCTCATATGGGGCTCAGTAAGTGGGTTATGACTCTGATAGTGGTAGTGCCACAGCAGGGAGCTATAGAGCTCTAAGTAACTCAGGTTAAACAGAAGGGGTTGCTTTACTCCTGAAAACATGACTTTTTCCAACCTATGGTCATGCCAGCACGTGAGTTTTCCAAACAAATATCAGAAGGCCATCAATGTTTGGCATGACTGCTCAGCTCTGAGAGCTTGGCCGGGGACAGTACAGCCTGCATTCCGCTGGTGCTCAAGTAAATAAGCACTTCAGCTCTTTTCTAGGTGGTGGGCTCCTGATGGCGTTGGCAGCACGAGGGGAGATGGAGGGAGATTTTCCTCCAGTTCAGCAGGGTAGAGGGCTGGGTGGCTCATGATGTCACCTGCTGGAGCACGCTGGCTGTGAACTGCATGGCCTGGTGGTGCTGCTCTTCAAGCATGTCCATGTGGAGGTCATCCAGAAAGTCGTTCCTGTCATCGTCCATCCAGCCCTCGTCCAGCTGGGGGGAGAGTAGCCAACACATGCCTCAGAAGAGTTGCTTTTCGTTTCCATTTCCATTTTTACTTTTAAAGAAAGGATATGACCTTGGGGAAAAGCATTTCTAGGGCCCCCTCCAGGAGTCATCAAAATGCAGTCCGCTCAATGTTTTGCTGTAGGTCAGAAAATCACCCTGTCCTCACATGCGAGACCTTCAACCCTATACCATGTTGGGGAAAGAAGTCTCTAGTATCCAGAATTTCTTTTGCAGGGTAAAACTTTCATTCATATCAGCTACTTTCAGTGAGCAAACCACCTGTGTGGGAGGGTCAGGTAGGTCTAACCGTGCCGCCTGCTTGCTAGCTCCCATACAAGTTTATTAGACCCTGAAGAGAAACCGTTTTTAATGTGTAGAGAAAAAAAGTAGGTCTGCTAATGAGCTGTTTGGCTTGGGCAAGGATATCTATCACTTTTGTCAGGCCCTCATCTGCCTTGCCCCCCCAAAAGCAGAGTATCTAGGGGTCAGCAATCTATAGCTCATACAGCATACTGTTTTTGTTAATAAAAAAAAAGCTTAATCAGAACACAACCATGCCCTTTTGTTTACATATTGTTTATGGCTGCTTTTGTGCTATAGTGGCAAAACATAGCAATCATGACAGAGACTGTATGGCCACTTAAGCCAAACATTTATCATCTGACCTTCCCTTTAAGAAAAAGTCTGTTCCAGGATGAGATTATTGTTGAAGTTCCCTTCGAGCACATGATGCCACCATCTGAGGTGAGTCAGACACCCTGGATGCTGCTGTTGCTCAGTTATTTTTCACTTGTGCCAGACATCTCGCTAGAGCCATTCTACGAGGATCTAGAGTGCTGCATGGTACAAGTTCATGATCCCTTCTGTAGAAGGAGTCATTACAGCACAGTGGTTTCGGAATCAGATTACATGACCTGAATCCCTACCTGCGTCTTTCTGGGTCACTTTAGAACCTCTGGGAACTTCAGTCTCCTGGACAGGCCTGCCTGTGCTCCACACAGAGCCTGCACTGTTTAGGTGGTTGTGTATGTGTTAATTATTATTTATCAGTCGATGTTTCTTTCATTTTTGAAAGAGCAATTTCTAATTCCCCACACTATGCTATTAGAAATGGAACCTGCACAATTCAAGGCTGGAACATTTGTCAAGTCATGCATCTTGATGGCCATCTCCCTGGCTGTGTTTTCCATTCCATTCTGTTTCCTTTCCTTTCCCTTCATTAAGATCCTTGCATTAATGAACCTGCTGTAGTGGCCAAGGTGAGTGTCAGCACCAACCATAAACGGTTAAATCATAAGGTGGGTTCTGAGTCCCAGCAAGTTCGATTACCTTTCCAGAGTGCAAAGCACCTTCAGATTCAGTGTCTATACTTGGGCACTCCTCTGCTGTGCTGGGGACTTGGGATTTTGATTTTAGAAATACAGACCCAGCTTCATCTGCAGGAAGCCAACTCACCTGGAGTTCAGGCCTTGCGATCAGCAATGAAAAGTTCTTATTTTCTTCACTGGTTAGAAGAGCCACAGCCTCTTCACGGTTCTGTACCTCTATCCCATTAATCTTTAAAAAAAAAAAAGAGGTAGGTAGACCTCTAATAGCATGATTAGATTGTACAAAATTATTCTACATTATTTTAGGCCCGCATTTGTCACCCACTCATGGCTAGAATCTAAAACTGCCAAGTATGTTGAAAGAATGCTGATTTTAGGAAGGAAAGGCCTTGCTCTGACTGACACAACTTTTCTGGTCTACATGGACTCCATGGTTGTAGTTCATGAGGTAACTATGCTGTGTGAACAGAAGGACTGGAACTCCAGAAGACAGCACTGAGAAAAATCAGTGTGTGGAGCAAACATTTAAGTAATTTCTTCAGACATCATATTCAGGCAGGACTATACATGGAATATGCTAAAGCAGACAGACGTTTTCTGATATTATGGGAGAAAAAGCAGCAATGAGTCTGATGTGAACATTATGGGAGTTGAGGGTAGAAAAGAGAATAGAATTATAAGTGGTGTTTTGTAACCCCAATTTGACATTTCTTTAGGCAAGTGAGAGTGATGCTTGCCACTGTCACATCTGATCAACTTCTTGCAGGATTTTTGCTTGCATGTCCTGGTGACTTAGAGCTCTGTTGATCTGGAGGTCTCAGTTCCAGGGAGGATGCTTCCTCCAGGGGACACAGTAGTGGTCCCACTGAATAGGAAGTTGAGCCTTCCGTGTGACTCCTTATGCCAGTGAGCCAGTAGGCAGCAAAAGGGCGATTCTCCTGGTTGGAATGATTGATCTCAATAACCAAGGGGAAATGAGGTGACTGTGACACAGTGCAGGCAGGGAAATGGAACCCAGGGGATTCTCTGAGTACTTCCATTCTCAACAGTAAAGGTGAATGGAAAATGCTAGCCCGCCAAAACAAGACAGTTATGCCGAGGATCCTAACCCTTCAGAGGTGATGGCCTGAGTCACTTCCGCAGGGTATGAACCCCAAGCAGCCGAAGGTCTGGCTGAAGACTAGAGCAACACAGAATAGGCAGTGGAAAAAGGAAATCAGAATGATTCCTGGTGAGGTGTACAATGAGAAAAAGTGGGTTTGAAATGAGAAGACACAAATGAGAAGGGGTAGAAAGCTAAGACTTGTAGACACAGTGACGCCAAGAATCTTGGTTTCTGTGAGATTAAAAAAGGTTGTAGATGAAAGAGAAATAAATGGTCTCATTTGGACTAGAAGGAGAAACAGGGCTCAAGGTAAAGAAACTTCCCTTAGAAGTGATTCCAGAGAGACTAAATGTTGAGTCATGAAATTTATAAGACTTCTCAATTTTGCTATGTTTGCCAAAAAATGTTCCCATTTGAAGGACAAGATCCACCTTGAAATGCATAGTCCAAAATTAATCTTTCTGAGAAATCTTAAATTAGAATTATTCTGGTTCACAAATTACAAACTCTTAGCCTGATTTGGCCTACAGATGTAATGTCTTTGATCCAAACAGAATTAAGGAAAATGAGGTGAACCCTCATTAGATGGGGCACCGTCTCTCAGTCTGTCTCTGTCCTTACCACTTTTTGTTTTATCTTCTTTCTTGTTTAGCCTCATTCATTAATTTAACTTGTCTGGCCTCACCATACAGCTAAGTTTGTGGCCCCTGCATTTTCAACCTGGAGCTGTTGTTAGAACCAGTCTATTCTTTAGTGAGAGGCCCATGATGAGACCATGGTCAGAAGTGGACCTACCTGGATAATGCGGTCTCCTTCTCGAATGCGCCCATCCTTGGCTGCAATGCTGTTAGGGTCAATCTGAAACACACATTGGACAAGTCAGCACAAATGCAAGACACACATGAAAATAAATGCCAGCAGTTTCCAAAGCCATCTCTAACACACAGTCATACTCATCCCGGTGTTTGTTTTGCACAGAAATAAACAAGACTTAGTGTTGTGCAAGGAGAGAGAGACACGGGCTGATCTGCTTCCAAGCCCTTTCCAGGGCCTATTCTTGGATCCCCGCATGGCAGCCTGTTACTCTGCAGCACACACAGGCTCTTTTTTTTTGTGTGTGTGCATGCACATTAATTAAAATCAAATCAGTGACATAGAACAGTTAAGGGGTCCCCTTCTTATGTTGACTAGCAAGCATACCTTGATTATATTATACCAAATACTTGTATTAAATTTTGGAAAATAACTTTAAGAATGAAATATACTTGAGACCAGTGGGTTTGAGAAGGGAAGGGTTGCCCCAAGATGAAGGGATGATGGGTCACTTTAAGCTTGGACGATGTACATACAAAGGAATAATTATTAAGCCTGGTAGTTCATCCTGCAGAGACAGATTTTATTTCCTTACAAAACTGAGTTTCTGCACTTGCAAGAATGGGCATGCGTGGTAAATTTTCCACACTGAAATCAGTTGCTTTGCATTATCTTCTTTGGAAGATCAAAACAACTTCCTTTTATGTACTTTGATAAATACTTATATGTTACAATTAACTTATTTGAATTCAACTATATATATATTCTACCAAAAGAAAAAAAAAGAGAGTAAGAGAGAGACTTGAAAAAGTGTAAGTGATTCCACCCACCATTCCACGTAATGAACAGGAATTGGGAAATGTGAATCTGCAGCTCCCTCGGGGCTAAACACACAAAGCCATGTAAACGGCTCCATTTTATGGCTGATTTGCAGGCTTCTCAAGGGTAATTTTGCCTTAAGTACTGACATTACAGCTTAACCCCCACGCAAAGGACACAACTCCATGGAGTGTGATGAAGGGGACAGAGTAATTTGTCCATCCCTGTCTTTCCAAAGAGTTCTTGATGAGCTGGAGTTAGGGTTAGTGAACATAGAAAAAAAGAGCACTTTTGGTCTTGATATGATAGTTATACAAAATCTGCCTTTGTACCTCACTGATATAAATCCCAATGTCATCTTCGTCGTCTGTCCGGTAGCACACTGTGAGGCCCAGCTTGTCCTGGCTGTTCATTCTGTAGAGGTCCACTTCCTAGACAAAGAAATGCCTTCTCAGTGAGATTCCCCCAGGCAATGAGAGGGAGAGGATGTCAAATGCTTTAGAAATATTTTGTTTAGATGATGAACTGGATTTCTTTGCATTCAACTGTGCAGGACCGGTTAACTTACTAAACAAAAAGTGATTATGGACACAGGATCAATGCCCAGGGCAGTCCTGACCTTTCAGTCAATATAAAGTCATTTTGAAAATAGTTATTTCATTGATCCCCCCAAAGAAAAATTACCCATATTTCACTCAGCGTCAAGACTTCTGGGGTAGGGCTTTTAAAAATCCTTCTTTCAGTGTCTGCCATAAACAAGAACATTTCCACACCTCAAACCATCCAGCCATTTCAGTACAAATGTTTCCAACGTGTTTGGTTAGACGATTTCATATTGTGTTCCCTTAATATTCACAGTCATAGAATGTGCAAACAGATTACACATCAGTTGATCCAAGAAAGGAGGTTAACATGATAGTGTGCAATTAATGCTCTCCATGACAGCTGTGATATTTACAGTCGAGAAATTAGTTTCAGCCGCTATTACTGCAAATTAAATAAGATAAAAGCAAAGTGAACCCAAACAGGGGACACATGAGTACAGGGAATGCTATCGTATTTGCCAATTAGTTTGTGCTTCAGAATGAAGTCAGAACTTTGAAAATTGTTGGTGCCTTAGGGAGACATCCTGAGGCTAACAGTGTAAACAGGCTGAATCGCTCCCCCACCCAAGCACTCTGCAAGTTTTTGTAGGCCTGTTGGAAGGGCCATTGGGTAATAGGTTCTCTGGCTGATCCTTTGGGCTGGTTTTTACAGTGTTATCTGCTTGTCACCCAGGAGAGTGGAGGGGCTCTGAGATAGGGTTTTCTTGGCCACTATCTCTCGAGAGGTTCTTCTTTGAGTGGGGAGAATGCAGCTGTCTGTGTGGAGAAACTCCGAATGGTTAAATGGCAGACACTTTCTTGAGCCCTCCCTCCCACGAAAGACAGGGTACTCAATGCCACAGACACTTTCCAGGCAGAGGAACAGCAGGTACAAAGGCCCTGGGCTGGTGTGGCTAAAGCCCTGTGTGCAGACAAGGGCAAAGTGGGCTTAATGTGATCAGGTGGTGGGGCCTGACCACGTAGGGCACCACAGGCCAGCATGAGGAGCTCATATTTGATTTCAACATTATGGGACCCTGTCAAAGGTTTTAAGTGAGGACTACCATGATCTGATTGACTTTTGGTGTCCTTTCTGGCTGATATGTGGGGTACAATGTGGTGGTGAAGAGATGGGACTATAAAACCAGGCAGAACTATGTTCAGATCCTTTTCTAGCACCTTGATAATGGGCTTGTTTTATATCTAAGCCTCTGTCTCCTCACTAGTATATACTATTCTGTCTTCTTGAGCAGGGTGAAAAGTCACTGAGGTGAGGACGCAGAGCTCTTAGTGCATTGCCTGGTCCACAGAAAGCCCATAGTAACTGTAGTATAATAGTTACTGCAGATATGGTTACTTGCTTGAAGTCATGAGACATTGTCTGTGACAGAGTGGACATATTTCAGTGCCCTCCTCAAGATTGTTTTCTGAATACTGATATGTTAATTAGTTCAACAACTTCCTAATTATAACTCTAGCAATATGCTACGTTCTCATTAAATAAAGCCCCATTAATTTCTGATAATTTAGTTGAGTTAGATGGAAATTTCTTTCCTCATCGAGAAATATGCTAAACATGGTTTTAAGGACCTATTTAGCCATGAGGACAAACCCAAATGGGTTTCCAAATACTTTGGAATAATCAATTTTCATTCCACAAATATACTGGTCATACATTATCCTGTAAGCTCAGACACTCTCTCAGGGTATATTTCATTTGCGCATGGGTAGTGGGAAGATTTTCTCAGTTTTGGCGTTTCTTCACCGTTAGTGTGAATTAGTGAGACTTCATGACTATTTGTTTGGGTTCAGCTGCACAAACGCAGCTCAAATTCTTCTACCATGCCCTGTGCTATCACTGCAAGAGCCGTGTCGTCCTGAACAGGCCTGCATGCAACCAAAGCAGAGAGAGAGATCAGTGAGAGACCGTAGGAAGAAAAACGAGAAAGACAGTAAATGTTGTGATACTATTTTTAACATAGTTGAAAATGATAATAAAAGTTATAGCTTTCTCTGAACGGCTGCCAAGACAATTATCTCTTAAGGAAGTACAAAAGAGATCATAGTTCCACTGGGCTTTATTCCAATACTATTCAAAGTATGCTTCGTGGTCATGATGTGTTTAGAAACTTCTTTAGCAGTTGAACATTGTCATGATAACCAAGGGCACGATGAGCAGACTTGTCCCACCGAACAAGGTGGAGACCAGTTCAGATAATGTTGAACAAGCCTTAAACAGGCTAAATTACATAGTTATACACTGTAGAACCATGTATGGACAGAGACAGATCGAAAAGTAAACAAACCAGCCAATCTGGTCCTTGTGGCCTTTCACCCGAGAGTCTGACAAGCACGACTCTATAGCACACATCTAGATCTGAATGCTCTGTTGGAGAGCCTAGGAAAGTGAAAAGTCTGGAGATCAAGTCCTGGGAAACAATGGCAGAATGTCCTAAGGGTATGCAAGCAGAAGAAAGGAGGACTCATGAGGAATGTGATAACTGACATTCTGCTATGTAGGAAAGTATTAGATTTGACCTACTATCAAATATTTAGTGGTCTGGTACCAAAAGACTTTAGTCAGTGACTTTGATAAAAACATAATTTTAAAAGCATTTTTACTCTATTTTGTCAATATTTTGATTGACAGAGATTTGAAGAACTATTAAACTATCAAAGTTGATATTCGTTCATGCTGCTGATGGGATGATGTTTTCTGTACTTTTTTCCCCTTCTAATCTGTCATTTCCTTCAACAAACCTGTATTACTTTTTAAACAGGAAGAAAACTTTCTTAGAACAAAATTTCAGGCTAGAACAGAGATACCCAAAACATTTGTTGCTTTAGCATATCTTCATCTGCATCACTGATAATGGAATCAAGAAGTACTTATGCTTCCTTACTTAAAAACTTTTTATATTAGTGCCATTAGTCCCACGTGTAGTTAGTAAATGAGTAATAGGCAATTGAGTCTCCGTAAATGATGTTTCTCATTTTTTCATGGGAGTCCGTCCCATTACTAGGTGTATTCCCAGTTAGTGATCACTTCAGAACGCATCCTCCCTCACAATAGTAGAGGTCAACACTGCATTTAGCCCTTGACTCCCATCACAGATCCTCCCAGGACAGACTGTCGTGGGGCCAGTTACATTCTCAGTTTGTCTGATATTTAAAACAGGTATAAGAAGAGCAGTGTAATTCTACTTCTGGGAACAGTTTTCTATCTTGGAAGTGGTCTGTTCAAAGGAAGAGTGGTGCTGGGTGAACAAATTCTGGTGAAGCACATTTCTAATAGCAACAAAGTCAAGGGCATTCTGGAGCTTCCTCTAGGTTTACTTGACATTGATGCTAGATAGGATGGTGTGGGCTGTACTATTTCCTTGCCTTACTTGGACCTTCTTGGGAACTCTAAACAAAAGCCAGCAAAGTTTCATTTAAAAGGCACAGGACACTACTTTGCCTCGGTCATTCGATTTCCAAGGAGTGGTTTAGCATCACAGAGAAGAATCTGACTGCCAATGGTTAAGTACAGAGTGAACCACAATAGGTTTTCAGAAGCTCTTGAGAAACAACAATGTAAGAGCTGCTATTGTCTTTGGATCTGTAGGTATTTGTGCTTAACTTGGTTGCTCATAAAGAAGATTCTAGTAAGGTAATTGTTGAATCATGAATTGTGCAATAAAGGCAATGTCTAGCTTTTTGTGCTGTGCACAGTATGTGCTCAGTAAAAAGGAGTGCATGAGCTTAAGATCCAAATGAAAAATCAGCTTGGTGCTGTCTTTAACAAGTGAGGCTGCCTTGGGCAAGTCATTTAACTTTGAACTCCTCAGCCATTCTGCAGTTTTAAAACAGGATAAAAGTATTTTGGGGGCTCAGTGGAAATGACAAGTCCTCAAACTTCTTGGGTGGTTTGTACATTGTCAATAATTCTTTCTGGCCCTGAGCTAGCGGTATACAATTAAGCATACTGCTGAAAGCATAGAAGTTATCAATACATATCTGTCTGTGATGATGGAGATAAGATTTCAAAGGAGACCATTAATCAAACTGGTATGAATAATGTATTAGCATTATCTGTATTACAGTTACCCCCACCACTGGTGTCCTGTTGCTCACTGGTCTAGATGGACTGTTTGATAAAAACAAACAGCTAAGCCTAACATTTCAGATGAAATTGAAACGATATTCCAATTAAGAGTATTAAGGGGGTTATTCCACCTTGGTGACTCAAGCGCTCTGTTTCAGCATCAGCCACTTTAATCAAAGGGGATCCCAAAGACTGACTGACTGATTTATTTAATTAACTTGGGGTCTCACTCTGTCACCCAGGCTGGAGTGAAATGGTATGATCACAATGATCATGGCTCATGGCAGCCTTGACCTCCTGAGCTCAGGCAATCCTTCCATCTCAGCATTCTGAGTAGCTGGGACCACAGGCATATACCACCAAACCTGGCTAATTTTGAAATTTTTTTGTAGAGATTAAGTTTCACTATGTTGCCAAGGCTGGTCTCGAACTCCTGGGCTTAAGCAGTCCTCCTGCCTCAGCTCCTCAAAGTGCTGGGATTACAGGCGTGAGCCATCATGTCTCACCTCCAAAAACTGACTTCAGTGGTTTATCCACCTGCCAGTAGATGGGTTGCTGAAGTTTAACTCTTCAGCTTATTGGTCCAGGATGCTGTGCACATTTCTTTAAATCTTACCAACAGTTTCTACATCTAGCTATGGCACTGTGTGGGGTATGGAGAGATCTCGACCTTAAGTTTGAGATAGGGTAACAAAGGACTTATTCCTTCATTCAACACATATTTGCTTGGTGCCCACTATATGCCAGACATGGTCTAGGC